AGTGAATTCTTCCTCTGGTATATTATATTACATAGGGTTATTAGATAATAAGGGTAATACAAATTCTATATTATGCAGTGCGTCACACATATTAGCCACTAGACAAAAGGGTGCCCACAGCTTAATCTTTTTAAAAAATAACAAGTAATGAAAACGAATGGTTGTGTTATTTATGATTCGTTGTCTTCCTTGTTTGAATTATTGCAATAAATAGTGTTAACATATTTCTCCTTCTGTAACAATGGAAATTTCAAGTTCTAAATCTACAAGAAAAAATATAAGCAATTTTCAGCCTTTTAGGAACTTCACACTAAGAAATCGCAAAGAAGAGAACATGACAGTGCTTTAGATTTGACGGGAATATGAGCCTCTGCCGCTGGTTCTGCAAATCTTCGTCCGGTTCCACCTTGTCGTGCAGAGGTGGGACTCATGCTGTTCCCGTTGAACCTGATCCTATTGTTGTTATAACAAGCGTTTTTTTTTTTCTTTCTTTCTTTCTTTGGCGATTGTTGTTGTCACTGGTGCAGTTATTGTCACTGGCGCTGTTGTTACAGGGACTACTTTTACTGAAAAGTTACGAAGATTGAGGGTAGCATTGGTTTAGTGCTTAAACAAGCTACAGTATGGTTTAAGGTTCGATAAAATCAATTTAGGCCAGACATGAATTGCTTCTAAATAGGAAACTTGGACCCTGTTCAGACGAGCGACTTTAGTGCCGCGTCTGCTAGAAGCGCGACTGCTAGGTCAATGGAAGTGAATAGGAGTGCACACTTGTGACTGGCCTCTGGTGCGACTCGAGATCTCCTCACTGTCGCAAGACTGCTCAGCCACACGAGTTACATGTGTTGCTATGCGGCCGCACACACAAGGCGACAGCCACTGCGTTTTCATGGTGATGGCGCGCCTCATTGGCTGGAGTGGGTGGGATTAGACCAGTGAGAGAGCATCATGTGGAGCGGAGGCAGACACACGGGCGACAGTCGCTTCTGCTTTCCCCAGCCTGCCATCATGTATTTGTTTAAGCAGATTGTCAAATGATTTGATAGACATTCTCATGTAATTAAATAACTTGGGTTCATGTTCTTGTAACTTTGGATACAATGTGAAGAACATTCTATGGGTAAGTCTGTCATTTAAGATAGGATGAACCCAATAACGTCTATGTCTCCTCTTCCGCTACTTCAAACGACGATATAAAACCCAGACATAAGCCACCGCTTCTAATCCATTAACAGCTGTGTATGATCAGCGACTGAAGAGGAAAAAAAGTGGGGGAGAGACGACTAGGGCCACTGAAAGCGCGTTGTGTGTGAACAATCACTCAATAATCGCGCTTCTAGCAGTCGGACCACTAAAATCGCTCGTCTGAACGGGGCCTGGTCTTTTTTTCGGCGTTTTTCACCCATCTTGCAGAAATCGAGTTAAATGCATTTGCATTGATTTCATAGTCTCCAGTAGTTCTAGTGAATTCTTCTCTGGTATATTACTCATATATTTCATAGGGTTGTTAGATAATAAGGGTAACAAAAATCAATATTATGCAGTGCAAGTCACACAATAGCCACAAGACAAAAGGGTGCCCAGTTTATTTTAGAAAAATAACACGTAAGTAATGGAAACGAAGGATTCGTTGTCTTCCTTGATTGAATTATTGCAATAAATAGTCAACATATTAATCCTTCTGTAACAATAGGTAATTTCGAGTTCAAAATTTACAAGAAAAAATGCAAGCAATTTTCAGCCTCATAGGAATTTCACACTAAGAATTCGCAAAGAAGGGAACATGACAGTGTTTTAGAATAGACGGGAATAAGAGCCTCTGCCGCTGGCTCTGCAAATCTTCGTCCGATTCCGCCCTGTCGTGCAGAGGTGGGATTTATGTTGTTCACGCTGGCGTTGTTGTTACAGGCGCTGTTGTTGTCACTGGCGTTGTTGTTGTCACAGGAACTGTTGTTGTTACTGAAAAGTTATGAAGATCGAGGGTAACTTTCGATTAGTCTGATTAAGCAGGCTGCAGTAAGATTTAATATCAAATGAAAACAATTGAGGCCAGACATGAATCCAAATTTACTATAATCGATAAATCTAAAATATTTGTCAACTCAAGACATGAGCAAAAGTTTAAACGGAAAAAAAAAAAATCTTTAGCGAATGAAATCGTTGCGCTGAATTTCTGTTTAAGCAACATCAACAATAATCCTTTAGTGTCATTCTTATAGAACAAAGACAGTCGGGAAAAATACCGGAAGCTTCTTACCAATCAAGAATGAAAGTATGGGAAACGTGCAAGATATGCTGTGTGTGATTTGTGTTTTTTTTTATTGTTTTTGTTAATGTTATTGTTAATGTTGATGGCGGTGGTGATAACTTTGTGTTTGCTTTTTCCGGGTTCGAATGCGGTCAACAGCAAATCATAAATAGCAAGAAAATTCATCGGAACACCACCCACGCTTACCCATGTCGAGAGCGCAGCACCGGCAGCGAAGGCCCTTGCAACCCTCGTATATTTCCTTCTCGTAGCTCTTGCAACGGCCCTGTCTGCAGGAACCCTTGTTCTCCTTGCATTTAGTCTTCCTCTTGCAAACTGGAGGAAAATCCGATTTTTATGGTTATTTATTGATTATTTACAGAGAATATTTGTATATGTAAGATAACGAACGAAACAAAATTATATGTCGACAGAAAGATAAATGTTATGCCTACAGCTACAGCTACACAGAATGATAATATCAGTAATTGGAATAACAGTAAAAAAATAAATAATAAATAAAATAAATAAATAATAAGAATAAAAAAAAATAATAATCAAGCAAATAGATAAATAAAAATTATAAACAACAAGACAACAGTGATAATGATAAAAATGAGACACGTAATTTCATTATTGTCACTATATTCACCTCGACCAGGGGCGCAGCAGCGGCATTTCTTCCCTTGGCAAGCGCGTTTTATTACCCTTTCGTTGTTTTTGCATTTTCCCGTCGTGCAGTATCTGCCTTTCCACTTACATTGCTTCTTGGGTTTGCATTCTAGGAAAAGGAAAAGAAAAAGCTTTAGTCTATTTACATATTCCAATTCTTAAGAATTTTGATTCCAGGCTTCTCTTATTTTACATTTCAATCATTTAAGTTCAGATACCTATGTTATTTTTATTTTCTAGGGATCATTTATATGGAAGCTTATATGTGTATATATATATATACATATGTGTCTGTGTGTATAAATATTTATATATATGTATTTATATATATATATATATATATATATGTATATATATATATATATATATATAATATATATATATATATATATATATATATTGTTACCAAGTAATGGACTCACCTTTTTTGTCTTTGGGAGCGCAGCAGTGGCAGTGATCACCCTCGCATCCTCCGTAAATCTCCATCTCTCCGCTCCCACAGGACTTCGCTGAGCAGGATCCATTCCTCCTTGTGCATCTCTGATTCGCCGTGCATTCTGAGGAGAGGAGAGAGCTTCACTTTCCACGTGGGAGAGGAGGATCATTTCCGTCGACCAATCTCTTCCGATTTTCACTTTTCCTAGCGCAGGGTTTACTGTTATGGCAGCCCCTTAAAATTTATAGCTTCTTTAAAGATAAAGGAGGTGAATTTATATTAAATTTGATGAACAATAAAAAATATTCTTTTTCGTTTTCTAATTATATGATAACAAAAACATATTAAAAATATCACTTGCTTGAAATATGTACATGTAAAACTCAAAGAACTAAATTTAAAATGTTTCTATCAATGAATTTTCAATTCAGTGGATTTCTTCCTGTTTCTTGATTATGAGTAATGAACAGATTAATTGCTTGTCTTCAAGGGGACACTTCTCGCATCCCTGGATGGGAAACCATGTCTAACATATCCTCACTAATTGTTAGCTATCTATTTTTTCTATCTACCTAGATACATATGTTTCTTTCCCTCTCTATCTATCTGTCATCCATTTTCACTACTGCCTTACCTTCGCAGAATAAGATGGGATTCTCTACCGAATAAAAGAAAATAATAAAAAAAATCTAGTCCCATTAACTAGAGAGAGATTGAGAAAACGACGAGACGGGTGAGTAAAGAGACACCGACAGAGACAGAAATTGCTGAAAGAAAAGAGAAAGAGAAATAGACCAAAGCAAATACCTACAGCCCCCCCCCCCTTCCTTCATCACCTCCTCAGACAGACAGAAGATGAATGATAAAAAGAGAGAGAAATCGACCCAAAGCAAAACCTACCTCCTAGCCCCCCACCTCCCTCCCCATATATTTGGGCCCTACTATCCCATCCAACTGAACCGAAAATAAGGGGGCCGGCCACAGGGCTATATATTAACAACTTTCGTTAGAAAGGTCTCGAGGTCTTACGTGGCTTAAGCTATGTGGCGTTCCAATAAGGGGTCCCTATAAGGGGTCAGAACGCGAAAACACCCTAAAATACCACTTAAATATTAACGTAACAGTACAGGTTTATTTAGTGCTATGAAAACCTTTCACAGAGTAAGTTACTAAATTAGACTGGGTGTGGTATGAAAATTTATCATACCCCTTATAGACCCCTTAAATTCACCCCTAAACAACGGCAAGGTTTACAGAGGTGATCCAGGGGGTTATGGAAAACTATAACAGAGTAAATGAGATATGAGATAAATCGATATGGTTTGAGTACTCGTATACCCCGTATAGACCCCTTATATACCCCTTAAACACCTTTAAACAACGGAATGGGTTAGGGAGATGATCGTGGGTGTTATGGAAGGCTATGATGGAATAGAGATGATTGGGCATGGTTTCAGATTTTGCTTTCCCTTTAAATATAGCGGGCGTAGGTACATGCATCACCTTTTCGGGGCCCCTCTGAATTGCAATTTGAGCATGATATATATATATATATATATATATATATATATATATATATATATATATATATATATTGTATCGTCCCCAAGCAATGGACTCACCTTTCTTGTCTTGGGAGCGCAGCAGTGGCATCTTGCACCGTCGCAGCCTCCGTAAATCTCCTTCTCTCCGCTCCCACAGGACCTCCTTGAGCAGGATCCATTCCTCCTTGTGCATCTCTGATTCGCCGTGCATTCTGAGGAGAGGAAGAGAGCTTCACTTTCCACACGGGAGAGGAGGATCATTTCGGTCGACGCAATCTTTTCTAACAAGATCCGATTTTCACTTATCGTAGCATATCAGGACTAATTGTTATCGATCTGTATATCTTTCTTTCTCTCTAGATACATGTCTCTCTATATATGGATATATATGTGTATATACACACACATACACACACACATATATATATATATATATATATATATATATATATATATATATATATATACGTCTATCTTCCATTTTAACTACTGCCTTACCTTCGCAGATTAAGAGGCGAGAAAGAGAGTCAGAGACAGGGAGTGAGAAAGAAAAGAGACAGACAGAAAGAAGTAAAAGATTGAGAGGGATAGAGAGAGAAAGAGATATAAATCCAAAGCAAAACCCACCTCCCAGCCCCGCCCCCACCTCCCTCTCCATATATATATATATATATATATATATATATATATATATATATATATATATATATATATATATATAAGCAATGGACTCACCTTTCTTGTCTTCAGGAGCGCAGCAGTGGCATCTTGCACCGTCGCAGCCTCCGTAAATCTCCTTCTCTCCGCTCCCACAGGACCTCCTTGAGCAGGATCCATTCCTCCTTGTGCATCTCTGATTCGCCGTGCATTCTGAGGAGAGGAAGAGAGCTTCACTTTCCACGTGGGAGAGGAGGATCATTCCGGTCGACGCAGTCCTTTCCGACAAGATCCGATTTTCACTTTTCCTAACATATCGTCGCTGATTGTTATCTGTATTTATATATCTATCTTTCTATCTAGATATATCTCTCTCTCCATCTATCTTCCATTTTTACTACTGACGCGATTCTCTTCCGAATAAATGAAAATAATGATAAAACTAAAGAAAAATGTATAGCCACTTACTTTCATCACGTATGCAACATTTGCAATGTCTACGACCACATCCACCGGGAAGCTCACGCTCTTGCCTCCTGCATCCTTTGCCAGTGCAGCGCCCATTGGCTCTCCTGCATTCATTGGTTAGTTCGCAGGTCGCCGGCGCGCAGCACCTGCAGCCGGCGCCGGAGCAGCCTCCCTGGATCTCGTCTTCGTGTGACGAGCAGCGGCTCTTCCCGCATCTCCCGTTGCGTCTCCTGCAGCGCTTCGTCCTGTGGCAGGCGGCTGAAATGCGGAAATACGGGTTAGATTCCGCTGATTGCGGAGTGACGGTTTTTCTTTCATTTTTGTCATGAATCTTTTCTGATCCCTTCTTATTCTAGCAGTTTCATGTTCTCGCCTCCGTCTTTATTCTCTTTCCTTTCTTCCCTCCTCCACCCTCACCCGGCATGCCCTCCCTTGGCACATGCACCCCGAGCTCTGGCACTCCTGCGTGAGGGTGCCCACGCAGAAGGCCGCGCTGGTCACGCAGAAGCCGCCCTTCTGGAACCACCAGCTCATCGTCTTGCACTGCGGAGTGCAGCACTTGCAGTTGCCATTTAGACAGCCCGGAGAGCACGCGGTGGCCGCTGCCGCAGACCGCTGCAGTAACCGCCCTTCAGCAAAGAATTCATAACAAGGAAAAAGTAACGCTGCCTCTGTGTGTGTTGTTTGTTTATCTGTGCTTGTCTTCACGTGTGCATTGTTAATGTTATTTTCTTGTTTGTGTGTTTGTGTATATGCGTGTATATGTGTATGAATTTGTGTATGTGTAGGAGGAAATGGTGAAATGAGGTAAGATATCACTCTAATACATGTGATTTTTCGACCATACCTCTCGTTTCGATCATGTACGTTATCCTTTCCTCCGTGCCTGAAATTTTAAAAAATAAATCAAAATTGCAGAAAAAAAAAATCCTGTATATAAAAAACAGACACTACACATACAGAAAAGTATACATATATATCCTGTACAAAAAAAAAAAAAAAAAATAATAAAAATAATAAATAATAAATATAAATAATAATAATAATAAAATAAAAAATATCTATCATCATTAGGAGCTAACGCCGACGGGGGAGCATAGCCTCCACCTTTTGAGATCCGTCATGGCAAGCCGCCAGGCAGGTACTCGGCCCATCTCGAGCTCCTCCAGACAGGTTTGATCGATCTGCCCAAGCCACGACATCCTCGGTCGTCACAGGCCTCCTCCACCCAGGGTTGTCTCTTACAGAGACAACCTCATGAGCAGGATCAGCCTATGGAAAGCTAGCAAGGTGGCCATATAGCCCGAGTTGGCGATCCCGGATTGTGCAGGTAACAGGTCCTGTGCCAGTCTCACGGTGCAACCGTCGGTTAGAGACATGGTCCCGCCAACAATACCCCATGATCCGGCACAAGGACCTATTACAGAAGGCATCAAGACAAGACTCCAGGGCACTGGATAATGTCCAGGTTTCAC